AAGTGCTAAGAAGATGATGAATGTTTTGAAAGTGAAAGAGGTAAAATGATGGGTATAAATAAAGATATAGACGGCAAAAATTATGATCATGATTATCTCGAGAACCGGCAAAAATATTGCCGAATCGTGGGGCAACACGTGTTCGGGGTATTAAACTCGAGAAGGCGTACGTCCTTTCAAGCGTTAGAGATTGTTCAGAAGGTTTTCAGAATATTTTCCGCCAAGAAAGGAATCTTCACCAACATCCCGATGAGACAAAGATATGCCACTTAATAGCAGGGGTCTATTTATATAGGTAAAATTAGTTTATATTAAATAATCGAATGGTAGAGTGATACGTGGAACCGAAGATAGGTAGAAAGCAAATCAAGTAACAACCAGTACCAGGAACAATAGCTGCAATTGGCATCGGATAGCCCCCGAAGGGAGCATGGTCAACGTGAGCAGATCGAATGTTTACCATCGGATAGCATTCAATGAAGAACATTTCCTGCATTAAATGGGCAGCCATGGCAGAGAATATTTGCATTCATGGCCAGCCGTTACATCTTCATCAATGGCTCCTTTATAGTCATTTAAGAGGGCTTGATCCTAGGATTTTGTTTCCCTTAGTATAATTATAAATTGTAGTCTCAACAGTCATTGTAAGACACAAAATTCTTGGCAAAACTTATGCTATATTCTATTCTCAAGCTAAATAAGATAACTTTATTTGTTCTTTTATATTGTTCTTATCTCTGTCCTCGGAGCCATTACTCTCAGAGCCAAACTTGTCATTTTCTTCTATTTTAACTGCTAAGTCTTATTTTTAATCTCGTTTATTTATCATTTTCAGATCAAATCAGTTCGTTTGTCTATAAACTATGTAATAAATTCAACTGTACCTTTTTACTGGTAAACAACTATTCCTATATAATTTGTACTATAAATCTTATTTAAATATGAATTAAATACTAGCAAATATCAAATACTAAATAATTTTGATTTCATGTTACAACTTTGAATAAGTTTTCTAGTATACCATAACCAAACATCATTTTTTCGTTTCCTTGAATTAAAGAACTCGATTGCTAATAAAATCTCAAACCTTCCCGTATATGAAGGAAACTGAGTTGGGGATTTTATTTCAGTCATTCTCATAAAATACTAAAAAATAAAACTTTTTATTTATTTAAAGATTAGATGTGTTGGTGAGTTTTAATGGTAGAAAAAGAAGCAAGAGAAGTTTGGAAGAACAATTTTAAAGAAGATTTACATCATGGTCTTTGGTGGATTTTATGAAATTACTGAGGAAGAGACCCCCGGGGGAGGGGGGAGGATTTCTTGGTAAACATCTGGCACCTTTTTTCATTTGATAAAAGTGTAAAATAAGGAAAATATTATTATTCACGTGGCACTAAAATATGGATTTAGACAAAATATTGCCGCTTTATTTTTTTATTTTTTATTAAGCACGAGCATGTCATGTAACAAAAGAGGTGCGTAATATATATACTATGAAGAAATTGAGTGTGAAATAAATAATTTTGATAAAAAAAATATGTCACAGATTTGATTCATAGTTTGAAAACTGCCTAGTTGGATTAGAAGTAAATATAAGTACATAGTAGTAAACACTAAACAAAGAATAGCTTTTTGGAAACTAAATTATCCTGAATTATAGTCGCCAGCGAAAAAGCAATTAGCCAGATATTCTAGAACCAGGGCCGGCTCCATAGTTATGAGGGGTAAGGCTTGTGCCTTAGGCCCCATTTTTAAAAAATAATAAGTTCATAAGTATTTAAAAAATAATATTTAGTATTTTTAATAAAAAAATAGAGTTTTTAATATAAAAGGAAAGAAAACTTTTTAGATATATAAATGAGGTAATAATTTGACTTACTTAAAAATGGGTAAATGAATAATTTTCGCAAAGTTTCAATTTTTTATTTTTTACTCCTTCATTAAAATTTTTGCTCTCTCTTCCTTAGTTTGTCTAAGTCAATCTTTCTTTTCTCTTCATATTTCAGAAAATCCTACATATTTTCTATCTTTCTCTTTGATATTCTTACTCACTTTCTTTCTCCAAGATTTCATTACTCATCTTCTTTCTCTAAGATTTCATTAGTTCAAGTGTTAAACAATATTTTTAAGTTTTCAATAGTTCTATACTTCTATTGCTATGTAAGATCTTATCTAAGATCAACAATATCTCAAGAAAGATTAAATGAGTTGGTTATATTGTCAATTGAACATAAACTATTAGAGAAAATCGATTATAAAAAAAATTATTAACAACTTTGTATCTCAAAAAGTTAGAAGAATAGACTTCAAATAAAAACATATCTTATAACTTTCTTTTAAAAATTTAGGCCTCATATTGAACTATAGCCTTAGGCCCCGTATGTGCTTGAGCCGCCCCTGTCTAGAACGTCTAACTTCACGTTAATTTTGTTATAGTAAAAACTAAAAATCAATTTCAATCGGAAATATAATGCAGTATCCTATATGGTGACCTGAGCTACAAATTTTAGTTTAGGGACACGTTCATTTCAAACAGCTTGGGTGGAACCAACAAATTATTCCCTAGTTATATTGTGTTACTTTTTCGTGACTTAATTTAGGTGTCATACTTTCTTTAGTAGAATATTAAAAAAAAATCACTCTTCTGCATTTAAAAATGATTAAATTTTTTTCTTCTTATTTTACCCTTATTTAGTGTATTTATAGTCACAAAATTTTATGTCTTATTCTAAATCACTAGCTTTTAGAAGTTTTCATTTATTTCTTAAACTTTATCTCTAATAAGATCTTATCATTTAAGACAGAAGGAGTACTAAATTTCAAGATTCTAAATTATCTAGTAAAATTATTTTTCTTTCTTTTATAACAGAAATGTCATGAAACTATGCATATAATACTCAGAAGGTCACTCTACCAAATTTTTCAAAATTTTACGGTCAAATATTTGTTTTACCCTCTAAATTTCGTCATTTGTCTTTTTTGTTAAATATTGTGATATATTCTTTTTCTTTTTAATCTATACTATAGAATTACCTATAGTATGATTAAATTTTATTATAAAGTAAAAAAGTGCAAAACTTTTTTAAGCATATATAATATTAGAATAATAAAATAATTGAGCATAATTTTTAAGCATATGTAATATATATTATAAACGATATCTCTATTTTAAATTGTGTATATTAAATGCATGGAATATCAGTTTTAAAAGCTTTTATTCTCTTTTATTTTAAATTTTGTAATTTTCTTTTTGAGTTCTTGTCATTACTATCGAAATCACTTATGCAAATAAATTATTCTAATTAATTTTTTTATTTTACTATTCCAACATTATATATGCTTGAAAAATATTTTGCACTTTTTTACTTTATGAATAAATTTATGTTTTCGATAGATGGTCCATAATATAGATTAAAAAGAGGAAAAAATATTAAAAATATAAAAGAAAGAAGATAATGATTGATAATTTAAAGGGTAAAATAAGTATTTGACCATTAAAATTGTGAGTAATTTGGTTGAGTGACCTTCTGAATGCTATAGGTATAGTTAAGTGAATTTTCTATTACAAATGAAAGAAAAATGACTTTACTAGGTAATTTCGCGTGATAATATGAGTGATGAACTCGTTTTTGTGACAACTGCAAGTACTAGTACATAGAAACCTTGAAGAGTTATTACACTCCGGATAAACAATAACAAAAAGTCAGGAGCTCAGGACAGACTTATTTCAAACGACGTCATACAATCAATCAAATATTCGTCGAATGTAACTAGTGATTGCCTAGATGGATGTGTAATATGAATAAACCAACCCTTCATGTATGTGGCCGGGTGTTGGCCAGTCAAGATTGCTTATGTTCCGAAGATGAAGGTAGCGGAGAGGAGGATGTTGAGATGGATGTGCGGGCACACCAGGTTAGATAGGATCAGAAATGAAGTTATTCGCGACAAGGTGGGTGTGTCCCCTATTGAGGACAAGATGCGGGAAGCGCGGCTTAGGTGTTTGGTCATGTGAGGATGAAGAGCACAAACGCCCCGGTGAGAAGGTGTGAGAGGTTGACATTGGAGGGCCTACAAAGAGGTAGAGGTAAGCCAAAAAAGAGGTGCGGAAGGGTGATTAGGCAAGACATGACGCAGCTTCAACTGACCGAGGACATGTTCCTTGATAGAAAAGTATAGAGGTCGAGAATTAGGGTACTAGAGTAGGTAGTCTAGAGTGTTCATAACAATAGTATTGGCATGCAGTCTCGCTTTCTGTTGGTAGTAGGTTTTTATGACTAACCATTATTTCCTTCATTGTTGATCACCTTACTATCTTGTTGTTTTTATTCTGCTTTTATATGCCTTTTTGGTACTGTCCCTTCTTGTCTATATTTTCATTAATGTGGTGTTTATGTTTTCCTGAGCCGAAAATCTATTGTAAACAACATCTCTATCCTTAAGGGTAAGGTATGCGTACACACTACCCTCCCCAGATCCTACGATGTGGGATAATATCTATCTCTGGGTATGTTGTTGTTGTTAGTATGGGCTCTGGAGTCTGGACCTAAGCCATAGTAAAAGTGAACGGAGGGAGTGCGTCCTAATGAATAATGACACTGGAGTTAGAAAATTTTAAGTTTTGGTGACACATTAGTTCATGAAACATACCAACTACTATTTCAACAGCTAATTGGTGCTATATAGTACTTCATGTCTTTTTGAAATATTATACTACTACTACTTTTTTACTAAAAAACAAACCTTGATAAAGATAATAGCAAAAATCATAAACCATTCGCAGACAGGCTCACCCAGTTCAGATGATTAAACATCACACTCTCTCAAAATGATAATGTTTCAGTTAAGATGTGCCCGCTGCATATAATGATAAATATGTAGTGAGAGTTGATACCCATTATATTATCATCCTATCTGTTGCTGATGCAAAACATTGAAACCATTTCTTCCCAAAAAGATAAAAAGGTGTACAAGGAGACAACATAAAGAGTCCCAACTATTTAAATCTTCTTCAACATGCATGTAAGCTGCCCCCTATCTTCAAATTTACAGCATGAAGCATTCCCGCTATATTCCAACGCCACAATGACAGAATTAACATCTTAGTCATCTCCGATGAAGAGTTGAGAAACAAGGACAAGTGCTAAATAGTAAGATATAAATTTGCATCACATCAAAGGAGCTATATTTCAAGAGAGTAAGATGAACAAGGAATCAGTTGTCCCAAGAATAGCGATTCTGAGTGTACATATACTGAGAAGAACCTTAAAATCCACAAGTTCCAGCACTATCACATGAGGTATAAGCCAAGCCTACATCCTTAATCATCATGTTTTGGAAGTAGAAGCCATATCTACATATCACATAACTTTTTCACTAGCTGTTACACCATCATGTTCAGTAGGCAAAAACCAGACAAGTGCATGGATTTTGTTAGCTGTAAATGGAAAAATGTTTCCAGTTTTAAACGAATAATAAAAAGCATCATGGGAATAAATCGATCAGTCAAAACAAAGCAAAGGAGAGTATCATACTGACTCTAAAATCCAACGAACATATTCCCTCCATTCAGCACAGCAACAATGGGTCTTCAGCTAGCTTCATTCGCCACCTCAGTCAGTCCCTGGGAGCTGTTTCTTTTTGGCATTTGCAGTAACTAGTCATGTGTCTAAAGTACTAGCACTTCAATTAATACATCCAAAGAAAGAGATTTGAAATCAAAGAAGCATATCAAATATATAAAATCAAAGGTGACAAAGATTAGAGTGCATGGGCAAAATATCGTTTAGTTTTCCATGACATATGGAACTTGCTAGCAGCAGCAGCACATTGAAGAATATTAGAATTTGCCGCAAAAATCCACACAAAAATTCAGTTCTTCAGAAAATTTTAGCTAAATTTCAAAAACCTAGAAAAGATAACAAGAGGCAAAATAGAAAAGCACATGTAAATCAGCATAGAATTAGTCCTCAATAGCAAAAAGAACCGTTCATCTGCACTCTACACCAACTTCAGCAGCTCGCCTAGGCTTGTTTTTCCTTCTACTCCCATTTTGTCTAAATCCAACCGACTTTATTAAGTCATTGGAGTTAGTTTTAGTCACAACACCATTTTCCACTTTCACTGGATCTGCTTCCTTGACTTGTGAAGTTCTCTTCCTCTTTTTTCCAATACTCACTGCAGTTTGGTTCTTGACATCTTTATTTAAGACAGAACCTTTGGTATTCTCACCGTCATCTTCATCTTCTTCTAATTTCCCCTCATTTTCTTCTAATTTCCCCTCACCGTCATCCTTTAGTGGTTTCAGTGGTCTTCCCCTTCTCCGCACTGGTATCTTCTCTTCTTCACCACTTCCAATATCGTCACGAACAGATTGCTTCTTTGCCTTTCCTCTTCCTCTGCCCATTGTTCAAAGCTGGAAATTCTGCACCTGAAGACTTCTTCTACAAATCTAAAGCTCAGAGGCCTTAAAATAGCATGTAGCACTCCAAAAAAAAAATCCTATGAAATACACGAAAAGAGCGGATTAGACAGAACCACACAATCTTAAAGGACCAATATATGAGAAGGATTATACTTCAACTCATGAAAACAGTTCTGAGAAAGAGAATCCCACTGGATATCATACATCAATATGAACAGTAAAGAGAAAAACTTTATCTTTGATGAAAGTGTATCCTCAAAACTCCAAATTGAAATCGGAAAAAAAAAAGGCAGCACGATGCACAAAGCATGCTGCATTCACGCAAGTTTCGGGGAAGGGCCGCACCTCCACAGTGTGATGTAAAACTTAAATAACTGAAGTTTTTCCACAAACAAGCAAAACTTAAATAAAGAGAATGATTCAAATGAAACATGAATCCTTCATAAATTATTCAAACACTAGAGCTTAAACAAACTAAATCAAGTGGGGTAAAAAGATTCTTGACCAAATATGCACCTCCC